CGGCCTCGGCCCGCATGCCATGCCACGGCCCCCCCCCCCCTGCCCTTCTCGAACAACACATTGCCGCCCGCCACCGTCAGATCCAATCCCTCCTCCTCGACAATCAACGTCTCTCCGCCCTCCACGTGGCCCTCAAGCAGGAGCTCGCCGTCTCCCAGCAGGAGCTCCACCACCTCTCCGCCGCCGCCTCCGATGTTGCCGCCGAGAGAGACGCTCAGGTTCGCGATGTCTATGAGCGATCGCTGAAGATTGAAGCTGAGGTCCGCTCGATCGATTCTCTCTCCGCCGACCTCGCTCAGGTCAGGGCCGATATTCCTAAACTGACCTCTGATCGTCAAGAGCTTGCTGCGAAGCTGAAGGCGATCGACGGTGACCTTGTGAGGGCTCGATCGGATTTGCAGCAATTGCCTTCGATCAAAGCTGAGATTGAGACCATGCACCAAGAAGTCCAAAGAGGAAGGTCATATACAATTCGTCATCAATCTCCCTCTTTATATGTAGATAGATATATGTTTGCTATTTTTGAGTCTAATTGTCATGTGGATTAGACCGGATTGCTTGACTTTTCTCTGAAAATTGAGTGCTTCTATTTAATTGTTGCATGTTGTGGGTGCAAATGTGATGAGTTAGAAATTTATCTTTTTAGTTTTTTGAAAAGTTTGATGAATGAGGAAAAGGTCTAGCAGTTTTCGAACGTGGGGAATCGATTAGCGGTTTTGGGCGGTTTGGTGAATGAGAAAATTTGTTCAGCGGTTATTGAATGTGGTAATAACTATGGGAAGTAGAGAGAATTTCTTAAAAGAGTAAAAGTGCGACAACGTTCACAGCAAATAAGGTGTATGCTTTATGTTTATCTACGAGAATGTAGTCATTGGCAAAACATCGGTAGTTCACTTTATCGGCTAGCAATAGATATGTACTAATAATATATCACTTCATGAAACCCTAACGATACTCAGAATGGAACCATTGAAACATGGTGTTCAATTTTGTATTGGCATTTACATTTTGGTGTTATTTTGGAATGATTACATCCTTTGAAATCCTTATTCTATTCATTATTTAATGCATTACTTTTCTTATTGTTTTGGAATGATTTGTATCTTATAGTTCAATGTCTCATCATAATTAGTGGTGTGTTAATATTTTATATGTATGACATAATTGGTGTTTACATATATATTCCTCTGTTTTTTTTTTTTTTTTTTTTTTTTTGTGATTTATTTGAGTAGTGTCAATGGCTTAATTGTGTCCCTCTTCTGCTTATGAATTTCAACAGGGCTGCCATTGAATATGAAAAAAAGGCACATGCTAGTAATTTCAAACAAGGTCAGGCAATGGAGAAAAACATGTTCTCCATGGTTCGAGAAATTGAGAAATTACGTGCCGAGCTTGCTAATGCAGATAAGAGAGCAAGAGCAGCGGCTGCCGCTGCTTCAGCAGCAACTTCAAGTAATTTATTGTTTGTTGTTTTCTAATTATGCTTGTTTTGGTGCAAAATATTTAACATGAGCTGAATTTGAGTGTTTTACCCCATCCAAATAGTAAATTGTGGGAATTGTTCATATGCAGGTCCTGGATATGCTGCAGTCTACGTAAACCCTGAAATGGGTTATGGGGGAAGATCATATCCGGATCCTTATGCTGCGTATAAGGTATGTGTTGATGTTTTTCTTTTTCTTTTTTCTTTCTTTCTTTCTTTCTTTCTTTTCTACCTCTGAGATGAAGATGCTAAGGTGAATGTATGATAAAATTAGAAAAGATAAAGTTAGTAATAAGTATATTTGAAAATGAGTTGGAGTAGTACTGATGAAGATAAGTTGAGAGATGATAGATTGAGATGGTATGGTCATATGCAACGGAGACCAACAGAGGCAGTTGTGAAGAGATGCGATACAATGATGGTAGATGGTAGTGTTAGGGGTAGGGGTAAACCTAGATTAACGTGGATTAGTGTAGTAAATAGAGATATGAATCTCCTTTATTTGATTAACAAAATGACATTGGATAGAGTCGAGTGGAGAAGAAGGATTCATGCAGCCGACCCCATTTGATGGGACTTAAGGCTTGGGTTGGGTTGGGTTGGGTTGGGTTGGGTTGTTTCTTCTTATGTACCTGTATATGGTGCTTATTCTAAATTGTTCTGTTGGTTTAATGTAGAAAAGAATTTTTTTTTTTATTCTGCTTGCAATTGGTATTTACAGTGGACTAAGTTTAGGGAAAGCTTGTATGTTTAGTATTTAATATAGAAAAAACTACTGCAGCCTTTAGGTTTTATTGAAGGAAAGGGACGGATTTTAGTTTGGATTTTGAAGTTTAAGTTGCTGGACTTTTAGAAAATAAGTTACTGTACGGATAACTGAAAGTAGCAAGGGATTATAGTGTTTTGGGTGAGATAAGACTAAACAATTGGGAAAGGTTACAGTTGATTAGGGCTTGGTAGGCTAGTTAAGGTTCTGTTTTTGTGTTGTGAACAATATGTCATTAACAGTAACTTTAGTGTATTTTTGGAGGTTTTGAGTATGCTAGGACTAGATCTTTGATGAAGGGAGGGGTTGGGGTTAAAGTATTGGCTAGTATTGGCTTTTAAAGCCTGATTGCATATTAAGAAGTGTAGTATATGAATGAAGTAGAAGAAGAAGAAAAAGAGGAAGAAGAGAATGTAGGACTTACTCTAGTGAATGGCCTTACCCAGTGAGGTTTAGGTACATTACACATCAACTCTACTGAATGGAAAGGAGAAATAGATGTTTGTAGCCAGCTATTAATTTCTGACCCCTATTTGCGCTAAGATTTGAAAAGTAAGAAACTTTGATTAACTATTAAGACAAGACTGTTATAGATCTTGTAGGCCTCGTGGACCATTACTGAGGTCTATCTCCATCACGGTAGAAGTTTACTGATGTATCTTTAACTCATCAAACCTTACATTGTAATGAAATTGTCCTAGCAGCATTAGCACCTAATGTAAATATAAAACAAGACTGGACTATCATGGATGCTTTCAATGTGGGGACCATAGACTTTCTTTGGGTTTTCAAAGTGGATATCTTATCACCCAAACCATGGCTACCAGCATCATAATTTCTACCAGTAGTTGAGCAAGTTGCATGAGCAAGTCTTTATAGTGTTCAAAATGGAATCACACTCCAAAAAGTGGTAACACAAGTACTAGTTACTGATTTTGTGACTATCAATTTTTCACAACATTTTTTCCACGTGGATAATTTAAGTTTTTTCAAATTGTGCGAAAAATAAAAAAATTCACGGTTCCGATTACCGCAACCGTTACACTACGGCCTTTACACCCCGCAACCGCAACCGCGTCACCGCCACTGTTACGGCGATCGCAACCGCTTTTCAGAACCTTGCTCCTTATACTCCAACTAGGGCTTGTTTTGGGACTTTATAAGGCCTTTGTATCATCAAAGCCAATTGAAGTGAAAGTCTTATGTATTTTCTTTGTTAGTCTTTTGATTTATTATTATTATTTATGTATTTGTCTTCAATTTTCCACTTAATAGAAAGTTTGAATCCTTTGATAGAAAACTGGAATTAGGGATCTGTGGTTGCAATGAAATGTTAAATTGTAACAATAGTTGAAGAGTTTTGCTGGAGCAATGAGACAGAGATGTTAGGCTTTTGTTGGAGATTATTGGGTGATTTGCATGCACCTTGAAGATGGATGTGAGAAAGTTAGGGTGTAAGCAATTGTATTTCATTTATGCATGTTAATTGTTTTAAGGTTGATACATGTACAAGGTTCTATATTGAGTTGAGGTTTGCATTGTTCCATAATTTCATACCTAAACTTGTCCTGCATCGTCTCTCGGGGCCTCTCTACCTAACACCAATTGGTTTTAGGTTGGATGCCTCAGTGACAGAGTCTTGTCCCACATCGTCTCTTTAAGCCATCCAAACTTGGTTAATAGAAATTTGGTCAAGTGTTTGATCTTTAAATCAAAATTATCTGTTAATTAGCATGTATCATTGTATGAAATATTTAAGTTTTTCATGTACAAATTTAAATTTGATAATTAATTGAACAACTTTTTTCTTGGGTAAGTAATCAAATTTTATTACCAACAAATAATATACATTGAAGCTCAAACAACATCAGCAAAAATACCTAGCACTGGGTAAAAACTCTCTAATAACCCTAGAGAGGCTAGTCATGATACCAACATGGCAACCTCTCACATCCCGAGAGACTAGTTCCATCAAATGAACCCTGCAATCAATGTTAAGGATGGTTCTTTGAACTCCTGCCTTGTTTGCTAGTTTGCACGTTCAATGGCTTGCTTGACAGTTTAAGACAAAGTCTTCTTTGACTTATAACCAAAAAAAAAAAAAAGATAAGCTTCTTTGGGTTGCACAACCTAGAGGAGGAATTTTTTGAAAAAAATGTCCCTCCTAGTGATAAAAAGGTGTGGCTAGCAATGAAGAAAGCTTGGAGATGATGGAAGCAAAGAATAGTGGAGGCTTGATCACTTCCACAGAAGTCGAAAAGGGAGAAAAATAGATGGAAAAAGTTAAAAAATAATAGTATTCGTTTTAGTACCTCATGAGAAAAAAAAGAAGAAGGGAAATTAGAAAAACTTTTGAATCTTGAAATTTCTAGAGAAAGGGCAATTAATTAGACAACTATGCAGATTTGACTAAATTTTGACCTTATGACTAGAATATCTCGTGTAATTTTGATCTCATTGTAAACATCTGAGTTGTAGTTGCTTTTCTATCATGTTTGTCTCATTATTCCTTTCATGTGATGCAAAAAGTACCTATATTAAGATTGTAACATTTATAACAAGAACTATTGTGAATGTCCTACTCTGCGACGGTTTGTTTGGATTGGTGTTCCTTTTGCTTGCATGTATTAACCGATTCAACTATTCTTTTTATTGGTACATTGGAGGTCGTAGCCTAGGGAGGCAGAGTCTTGCCTATGGCAGACCTGAACCTTTGACTTCCTAGTGAGGTGCAAGAATTCTTCCAACTAAGCTAGCTGCAATTGGCTACAATTCATCTATTCACTAAAATTTTAATTTTGTTTTTGCATGGCAATGCCTGATTCATAAGTACAAAAGAGCCCTAATTAGAAAATTACCCTTGAAATTGACCCACTCAGTATTGTAGCAGTCAAAATTTCATCACATAAACTATATCCAAATAATTAATGACTAGATTGCAACCCAAGAGGAGACTCCTGATCCTATGAAAAAGAATCTATAAACAAAATTGAAACTCCAAGAAAATAGAAATGTCTGTAAGTAATTCCGATATATGAAAACTCTGAAACTTCTAGAATGATTCAGCTAACCCCAATCAAGAATTAGAATGATTAAGTAGCCCAGATACCAAATAGTCCTAAGGTGTAAAACTATCAGAAATTCATAAATTGAAGTCATGATTTTGACAACATTGTGGACAACTTTTTATAGACTAAGGAGGCCTTCAATGACTTGGTCCCCCATGAAGCTCCTTGATTGTTGGCTGTTCTGCGTGGTTGTAGCGTGTTACTAAGAAGCATGAACATTTATATGGAGTAGCATGTCGTGTCGGACACAATATTCTGCAAGACTCCTAAAAGCGTGTCCAACACTTCCTCAACATGTCTTAATTAAAAAATTTCGTAATATAAGACACTTCAGTGACACTTTTTGAACCTTCCAAACACGATCTATGTGATGAGCCTCTTTATAGGAACAATGTTCTGTATTCTTTGGAATGCAATTTGTGCACTCTAAATATATTTTAAAATATTTACTGCTGGACTACTGATGTGAATGATCAGATACACACCACGTGGGTGCCAATTTCTAGATAGAAATGGCTGTAGCCAATGTTCTACTGCCTGATTCTTGGATTTTGAGGGGCATATAGTGGTCCCTTGTTAGATTCCCTATTGATTGAGACTGATGTATATCCTGAAGTGAACTGCATTTTCGCTCCCGGTTTTCTTTTCAGCTTTTGGGATTCCTTTATCATGTCATTATGAACTCTGAGATGCTATTCAATTTTGTTGACCTGCTTGCCCTTGTCTCGTTGTGGCTTCTTAAAGTTCTCACATACTCCACAAAGCCGATGTGTGTTCTAAACAGTTAACATATCATCTGATAATGATAGTACAAGAATCAGTCACCAAACTCATTAATGTCTCAATTAGTCTGAAATTATTGGTTGAAACTTAGGAAACAGAACTTCTAGTACTGTGCCACACTGATGCTTGACATTTCAAGAAACCAAAATCAGCAGCAATGTCAACAATAATGTGGGGTCTGCTATTCAAGTCCTGCATTGGCATTCAGATATATTAGGACTGTAGATCTGTCAGATTATAGGTGTTTGTGGCTTTTCTTGTTGCCTTGGCCTGTGTTCTTATACATATTCCTCTTGTCATGATTGGTTTTTAGCACTTTCAACTTGAATAATATTTGAATTCATAGTTGAAAATGGAATCACAGAACACATATATGTCAGATTAATTAGGACCATGTACCTCCACAATTTCCCAACAAGTGATAAGGTTTTAGAATAATCAATCTTATTATTCGTCTTTTCTACGCAGGCTCAAAGTAGTGCCGATGCTGGTCCTCAATACAGTCCTGCAGCAGGGCCTCACAGCCCTTATAACACACAGCAGACCCATGTACATAGGTAAGCTCTCATTGGGCATCAGAATAATATAGAATTCAAAAATTTTATTTGCTGTGAGGTCCCAAAAGAGCCTTTAAGTTATTAGCAAGATTCCGAGAAGGCCATTATTCTTGAAATGCAAATTTCTGCATCACTATCATCGAATAACCACGGCGTGTGTCCGCATAAGTCAAGACTGAGGTGGTTGTTGCTTGACATTAGCCAGTTTCTCAGATACACTTTCCCTCCGTGCTTTTTCCGCGTGAAGGCTCATATATTTGGTTTCTCGATGCAGCCACCAGTGTCCCAACTTTTTTCATTACAGCCCTAATTTGAGATGGCTTTTCTTCTTTCTTTCTTTTTTTTCTTCTCATTAGTCGAAATGTGAATGATGAAATTTGTGGTTAATATCACAATTCTGAAGTACTGTTGATTTACATGATTAGAAATTACCAATTTTGCTTTGATGCATTAATTTTTATCAAAAGCTTAGCTTATGATTTTGTAACTCACCATTGCAACTGCACATTGCTTCTTAGGCCATCATGCTTTTGAGTTTGTCTTTATTGATTTTTGTTTTATTATTCAATTTTGTTTTTAAAATGTTGGGGGCTTCTAATCTAAAAGCTTTTGTTAGTTTTTAAAAAAGTTGGATCAAATTTGACAAAATAAAAAATCCAAGCTTATTGAAAACTCTAAGCAAGAAAACCCTGAGCAAATTAGGGGACTAAAAAAAAAAAAAAAAGAGTTTTCTTTCATGTTTCAACAAACTGTATGGGATTGTTTTAGCAACTAAAGCGCAAAAATGTATTCATGCACAAAACACACATTAAGGTTGGTTTGGGAACGTTTTGTATATACACATGCCGGTGCAAGGCATGTGTTATTATTACAATATGTTTAAATTTTATATTTTGATAATTTTTTAAAAATTTCAACTATTATTTTATGAAATTGAAATGAATAAATCATTAGATATATAATAGAGTTTATGCAGTATGATATGTATCATTTTTTAATTTGTTATATATCCAATGATGTATAATATTTTTTCTGAATTTATAAAAAAACAAACTTATAATGTGTAGTTTTTCTCAACAGATAAATATAAAATAAAAACTAAGATAAGTCACTTATTTAAGAAAAAAAAAAACTATTAAGATAAGTCATTGAACTAATAAAAAAACAGAAGAAAATACATACATATACAAATAATTAATTTTATTAATACATAAATCATATTTGCATAACAAATGATCAATTTTATTCATAAGTAAATCATTAAGTAAATTAATAATTTTTCATAATGATATGAAAAATATTTTTCAGTTAATCATTTTATTAATAAACAAAACATTAAGTCAATTAACAATTTTTCATGATATGAGAAATATTTTTTACTAAAAAATCTTTATAATTTATTATTGAATAGGAGAATAGTTTTTTTCCCTTAGGTATTGTGTTATATTAAAATTTATAATAAACGATAGTTGTAATTTCTAATATAATAGAACCGATTCATATTTTAAACGAACTTTATGAATGTATTTGTAATTTGTTAAAAAATAAAAGATTTATGTTTCATAATTGATCAAGAATATTTACATAATTATGAGAAAACATATTTTATAATTGATCAAGAATGTTTGCAAGATTAAGGAAAAACTTGTTGCAAAATGGACCAAAAATATTTACATAATTACGAAAAAAAAACATTTGCTCAACATAAAAGCCACTTAAATTATTCAAAATAAAAAGGCAAAATAGAAAGGAAAAAAAGAACGAGCCATGGGAAAGAAAGAGTTTCTTATATATGTAAGTATATGTTTTCTATTTTTATTTATTTATTTTGAACAAAATTTTCAAAACGTTTGGAATTTGAAAATGAAAAATATGTTTAGTAACTTCCTCACTAAAAATAGAATGAAAAAAAGAAGAGAAAAAAGTTGACTGTTGAAAACTAGCTTTCACACCTCATCAGCTTGGCCCGTCTCCCCTTTCACTAGCATAAAGCATAAACAACTTCTGGTTTTAAAATAGGCCAGGTTGGTCACCGGTTCTAATCAGACCAGATCGTGCTGTTAGAACTGTGCTGTCAGATCTACGTGGACTCACCAGAGTCTCAATTAATTATTTAAACTGTTTAATATATAAAGATTATGAAGTCCTTCATCTTTATAAAAAATTGATCAAATATCAATAACTACTTGATCAGTTCACATTTTTGCTAACAATAAATATGACTTATAAAAAATTATTGACAAAAATATAGACTAATCAAGTGGTTATCGATATTTGATCAACGTGATGTTTTACAACAATAAAGTAATCGATGAATTCTACATATTAAACGATTCAAATCATGAGCTAAACCTTAAAGGGGCCAAACTGGACGATCCAGTTAGACTTTCCAGCTTGAGACAATCCAATCCCTTAAAGTACATATACACTAAACAATATATTTACTTTCTGCTTTTACAAAAATAAATATATAAATGTTTTATGTTGTAAACAAAAAATCAATAAAAAAAATTAATTACATGACCACACACAATCTTAGATCAAATTCTCCCAACCGCTAGGCAGAAGATATCTAATCCACGTTCCAATAAGTTGGTTTGCAAAATAATAATGTAGAATCTCATCCATTGTTTCTTCTTTCTTTTTTCTTTCTCAGTGAATATAGCATAATGATTTCCGACAGCAATTTGAAATGATCAAATAGAAAATCTACACCCAAAAACATAAAAACAAAAACAAGAGTGTAAATTCATTCCAAAAAAAAAAACCTTTCTAGTCATTAGATGAATTGTGGGTCTAGCATTTCCCAAATTATTAGAAAACAACAATTGTATAACTTTTAAATTGGTATACTGCAGTCAAAGCACAACTACTTGTCTCTTTACAAGCTCATTTACAATAATCCAATATGGAGTCTTGGGACAATGAGACAAACTAAATTGCAGTGACAAAATTGAAAATTACCTGTGCAAAACACACATTATAAATAATAATAACCAAAATATTCTAAAATAAAACAAAAATAGATTATTAGCATAAGCATACATGAATTTCTTAAATTTAAAAAACATCAGTGCCATTGGTTATGAAATTCAAATTCATTAGAAAGGATTCACAGGAATTCTCACATTTAAAGGACTATCATCCAAAAACCCTGAACTCTTCAAAAGCTTGGAGACTTCTGACAAAAATAATTAACTTTAACAAATCATACTATCAAAACCTGCAGTTCAGCCCCTCATTCCATACACCGAACACCAGCACTCACATTGACAACACTATAAACATTAAAGGGAACAAATATCTGATGCAAAGTTACCTTGTCCAAGACCCAAAAGAAAAAAGAAAAAAAAACCATTAGTGGTAAGAACATACAGAGGGGTTAGGGCGATAATATAGAGCCGAGGAAGGACAACTAGCTCAAATCAAACCAGGGTACAAATTTTAATTTTACTTGAATTCTAGTGTCCAAGTTCATTATCACACTTTGGTTCCATATGTAACATGCAAGCCAAGCATCATCTGCAGCTCCTTTCCAATCATTTTGCTTTGGAACAATAACCGACGAAGTAAATATTATTACGACACATTGAACCCGGAGGGCATCTTAACCCTATTTGCTGTAAAACTTACCTTCTTCACCATACCCAACCTCAAATAACATACCCAAATAACATATTGTCAACTGTTTACAGTCACACACAACAAACAAATAAAAGTAAAAATAAAATCAAGAAATAAAAAAATACATTAAAGGTGTAAGAGCTCTCATGCCTAAATACCAGCATCTTTTTTTCTTTTTTTGAGAATAAAATACCGGCATCTACAACAATGGATTATGCTAGCAAAGCACAACAAATAAATGATGTACGCCACGGACACCATGCATGGATTCATTACTAAAAAAAAAAAAAAGCTAAAAGAACATCCTAAAACGCCATCCATAGCCTTCAAAACTGGCCCCACTTGTGAGAGATTAGTGCATAACAGCCATGGCTTTAGCAATCTCCTATTACTTACTTTTGTAATTATTGTGATTCTTTATAATGGGTAAAGCATCTAATGCTTACCTCCTCATCAAAAAAAAAAAAAATACACCAGTTAAAACAAGATGCTTACCATGTTGGCCATCCAATGAGTAGAATCAAATTACAATTTTATAGCAAAATGCACCGAAAAGAAAGGCAGTAAAAACTTGATTAAATGGCAGGCAGCAGAATGCGATGCTTTTTGTATGAACATAGACTAGTAAGAAGTTGGTTTGAAATTCACCCCTTTCCAACCATGTGGAAGACTGAGGAGAGAAGGGAAATGGAAGGAATATTTTAAAATTGCCCTCTTGTGCTCACAAATACTTTCCTCCTTAAGACAAGAAATTTGGGGAGTTAAGAACACAAGTTGGCATAAAACAAATCAGTACAAGGCACAAACACAAAAAATAAACAACGACCAAGATGTTACTGTTCTTGGCCTATACAAACAACAGGGGAAAATGAGAAATATCCCTCTTCTTTAGCTTCCCAAACTTTATTGAACAAAACACACACAATAGAGAAGTACAAAACTTCATTTAGCATGATAGCTTTTACAATGACTTTGCCCCAATATAGTTCCTCCAACAACTCACACCTTCCAGGTCTTCAAGTAATCAGTCACAAGATTCTAACTTTTTCCAAGTAGTGAAGGAAAGAGGAGAACAAAAAGCATGAGCCACATCAGGCACAATATCTTAGACCTAGAATTGAAATAGGACTTGCAACAAGAATTATTACTATAAGTTGCAAACTACCACTCCAAAAAGTTCATAAGTTATACTACATTATCTACTGATGGTGTTAGAAGTGAGTGATAAACAGCACATCTACATTTACTCTTTGACACCAACATCAGATGAAGATGCAAGCATGTCGCTGACATGCAAGCAAATCCACAAATGCGCCACTCCGAGTCCAACAACTAGCATAGATATGCAATTTAGATGGGGCAATACTCACCTGAAAATTTCAACCTACCTTAGCAGCAATTTGGAGAATATCCACTTGCCTCTATAAAAACATTCACACAGTTTAAATCAATCCCAAACTGAATATAAAAACCCCACCATCTAGCATAAGATTAAGAAAGGAGAAAAGGGGCATTGCTCAAAGTAAGTGAACAACCTACCTCTTTGTCTCCAGTATGAGAACAATCCCGCGAACAGAATATAATTAAATCACTTCAAGCACAATTTTTAGTACATAAATATGCTCCTTTGAACTTCAGTATGGGCGAGAACGGTTTCCACCATGATAATTTCTATCTGGACCAGAACCTCCACTGTCTCTGTAATTGTCTCTGCGTCTGTCTCCACCGCCTCCATATCCACCTCTACCTCCGCCCCTGTTGTATGAACAGTCATTAAAAAGCATCAAGGAAAATCATGTCTTGTTAATGTCTGTTTTAATAACATTATCCTTCCCCCATAGGCTGCAATACCATCACATACTGGGGCTGTAAGATGACAGCAAGAACACTCCATTCCTAAGACTACCTCTACTAGAAAGCAAAGGCAACATCATGCCTCTCATCCACAGCAACACACGCATACTGAGAACCTTTAAAATGTGTACAATTGCAGTTCGACAAGGGCAGATATACCACAATAAATTACCAACAAGCTTGTGATGATGGAGCAAATATTCTCCATAATAAATTACACCATCAAAACAAATGCTCTCCATAATACATTACCGGCAGAATTGGACGTAAAATTGTTAGAATCCACTCTTGTACATTCTCTTCAAGAAATCATGAAAAAGGAAAAAAGATGATGGACTAAAACTTACAGAACAACAGTCCGTCCCTGAAATCCTTTAAAAGCAGCTTTAAATGCACAAAAAAAGACATTCAATGAAAAGTATACATTCCATTTAAAACAAGATGGAAAACGTATAGCAAAGGTAGTTATGCACAACATCACATAACGTACTACAAAGGTTAATTCGATACAGATGCCTCACGACACAATGACTAAACAATTAATGCTCGTCAAGTATCAAAGCACACAAGAATCACAATGACAATTAAATTTGGACATAGGACTGCCAAACAAACCTAGAGAATTTGAAAATTGAAGAAAATAAGTCAAATTAGAGTTGAGCTTAAGCTAAACAAAATAAATTGCTAAGAAAAAAATTGCTGACACTGGCCAAGTAGATAAGAACAAACAAGGTACAACAGCACAACATTGTTATCCCATAGGACACAGAGAATGACTCCGAACAGAGACAAAAACTATCCCATAGGACACAGAGAATGACTCCGAACAGAGACAAAAACTACCACAATGTAAGATCAACAAATAACACACTGAAAATTATTAGATCAATGGCAACATTGAAATCACCTAAAGGAACTAAAACATGGTTGCCAACTTGCCAGTATCCCATCCCCATCAAAATAGAATCAACTGCAATAAAAAAAACCAAAGGTATGATATGGATAGAGGTAAGAGGAATACCCAGCGCCATATGCAGGAGGGGCCCTTGGAGCAGACCTCTCAGCCATTGCAACACTTATTTTATAACCCCTAATGTCATGACCTGATGAGGAGAATTTATGATAAGCATTTAACAAAGATATTGACAGCCAAGAAATCCTTTTTCAAATAATACCATTATAGAAACTGCCAGCACAATGTGCTGCAGATGGATCTTCATAAGATAAAGCCGCATCTCCTTTGTTGTTTCCCTGCTCATCTGTGTAGATTTTAATATTCCAAGGCCATTGGTCCTTAAAGCCACGCTTTTGCTTGATTTTTCCAACCTAAATAAACATTAGCATCAAAATAAATGCCACCGCCACATTAACTGAATGCACAATGAATCAACTTCGCGCTAGTCACGCTTTATCTACTTCACCCAAAAGAAAACAATATCTATTATTACCTTCACCTTTACCAATGATTGGACCATGTAAAGCCTTACATTGGTTCACTTATCATGTCATCTAAATGCATAATCAGCATGATCTCTATGGAAAACAACTCACTACTACCCCCCAAATCCACAATATTTAAAGAGAGTGCCACTTTCGTCCGGCCTTTTCAGCCCTAGAGAAACACTGCTTTTGGCCCTCACTTGTTTTTTTGTTTTGCTATATATATTTGCGGGTATTTTAGTCATTTTAAAAAGACATACGTAAATTATGAGAAAGGCTGCAGTACACAACCCTGTACCATAAGAGAAATTATGAGAATTTGTGGTGTTAATTATGAATCATCAAAGTGGAGTTACGAAAGGATGTACCGCAAACAAAAGTTCTAATCATGAGGTTTTGTAGTTTTGTTATGAATATTGTGGCTTTTTGTTATGACGCTTTGTGGTGAGCAAAGTTATGAGGCTTTGTGGTGTCTTTTGTTATGATCTTTTGTGTTGTCTTTTGTTATGATCTTTTGTGGTGTTAGTTACAAATTATTGTGGTGTAGTTATGACAGTGCACACGGTATGCACCATTTTAGCAGTGTATACAGTAACCTTTCCCATAAATTATATATGTAGTAACCTTTCACATTGAATGCAAGTTAGTAAGTAGTTAGACAAGTCACAAAAATCATTTTTATATACGACGTAAAATTCACTGCTTTTGATTCGTTTCCTTTTTGTCCCTTTTTTAGTTATTTATTCCTCCTATTTGCTCAACGTCAAGTAGGGATTGGCAATGACCATGTTGGGTTTGGGTCAGGCCTACGCTAGAAAGGACAGTAAAATGCCTTAGCCAAGCTCGGCCTAACCTGACATTAAGCTCAAAATTCTCATCCCAAACTCAATGCTAAAATGACGTTACAATCCCAAAACTGTCCAATAAACCCATAGATAAAAATAAATAAATAAACCAAAATCAAATATTATATAAGCTCGGCTCTAAAATGGCATTACAAACCCATATATAAAATAAAAAATTAAAACTCGTCTAACAATATTTATATTATCATACGAAGTGTATAACCCATTTGGCGTGAACACCCTTTTAAAACCCTATCACGTCTTTCCTCACCTATGTAAAGATTTCAAATGTTATAACTTCTTCAATTTTTAAGAATACACACATCTGGTGTGCACACCCTCTTATGCAACCTCAACCTTAAAATGGCAATACAATCCTAAACCCATACAATAAATTCATATATAAATATATATATATATTAAAAATAAAAAACAAAGGGGTTGATTACAGTAAAAAATGTACAAATAATCCCCCTCCCCGCGTGAAACTTATGCATTTTTATAGTTGAGAGGGGCCAAAATGTACAAGCTCATAGATGAAGGGGTACGATGATATTCGCGAATAAATGAGGGGTCTTGATGTAAATAGTCTTGCTACAGACAAACCCTTTTTTACACCATTTTACACTGCCTACTCACAATGGGAGTGGGCCTCACACATAGTAAGTACGTGATGTGTAATAGTGTAAAAAAATGGTGTATTTACAATCTTACACACAAAGTTTTGTTATAGACACCTTTGTTTCTACCATTTTACACCACCTGCTCACAATAGTGTAAAAAATGGTGTATCCATAATCTTACGCAAAAATAAATGTTACAAATTTAAACATTAGCAACCTCCTAGTTTTGTTGGCACATTTAATTTATTAACCTAATACATTTTAATTTTAAACATTGGAAGTCCATTTCCTTCTTGAATGCATTATTCTTATTTAATCAAAAATACAACTAAATAAATTATAAATGTACTATATACACTAATATATGTAATATACAATAATATTCGAGCAACCTAAATTGGGTTAAACTTCAAGAACTACTTCCAAATCTAGCTCATTTGATAAAAGGGCATAAAATTTAGCCCAACCTAACCACATGGACTGAAATATAAACAAAAATAATTCTAAAGTCATCACATTTTTCTACCAAGTTTAAATAATCCTCGCCTGTTAGTTTTTTGCGCAGTTAATTCGTTTTTGCATTTAAGAATATTTGTAATTCCTAAGAAATGGAGATTCACAAGAAATTCATGCAGTGAAAATCCTTGAAATTGTATGGATGGTCCCTCTTGATCGCATTATATCACCAGTAAATGCAACGTATTTTGAAATACATTAAATGCAAAAAGATAAAAGAAGGGAATTTGCTTATCACCTGTCCAATGCCTCCAAAAAGTTCATGTAATTCCTCAGTAGTCACATCTGGGGGCAAATTTGAGATGTAAATTCTCGAGTTGTCACAAGAATCTCCACAGTTCCCATCACATTGCTTCACCTTCACTGGAGCCTCAGCAGGAGCACCACCATAACCACCTCCAGCATTTCTTGGACCACCACCATACCCACCATCATATCCACCCGATCGGCCACCGCGCCCACTACTACGGGTATCGCCTATAGCATTACCACCATAACCACCAGGAGCGCCATACGATGGGGGATATGAACTAGGTCCTCCAGTATAGCTTGTAGGCGGAGGAACTGCATCCGTTCCATAACTAGGGTTCCCACCATAATTATTTGGAGGTGGGTAATTGCCATCCGGCCCACCATAAGAGGGGGGTGCAAGTGGGGAAACCTGACCATAACCACTATCATCTCTTCCTTGATTACTGCCATAAGAACCACCTCTACTACCTCCACCACTTCCACCATCATAATTACTGCCTCTACCACTTCCACCGTCATAATTATTGTTTCTACCACCTCTTCCCCCGCCACTTCCTCCCCTGTAACTTCCACCACCACTGCCTCCATGATCTCCAGCACCGGCAGGAGAGGGCGCACCACATTTGTTACACTCGACTCTTCTAGCAAAGTTCAGATTCCCACAGCTACAACAACATTATCAGTTTCAATAACATTGGTACAAGGAAGTAACAATCAAAGGAAAGCCCTAAAAACTGTGACCTTTTTCTTCTTAACAATGTTTTTTCCTTTTCTTTTTTCTTTTTTTCAAGTTGTAGAAGAAAAAAAATTAAACTATTCTAATGAAAACAAAAACAGACAGCAGATGTGTTAATGTTACTGATACTAACTAAACAAAGTCACAATTGCAAACAATAAAACACAAACTCCATTGGAATTGCAGATCCAAAAGTAAAGTACCTGGGATTTGGGCAGCGCCAATCACCATCCCTACCGCTACCACCACCACGGCCGCCCCCTCTATTGCCACCGCCACCGCCTCCACCTCGACTGCCACGATCTCCTCCTTGATATCCACCACCACCGCCGCCACCACCACCTGCAATCGAATACAAATAAAGTGAAGAAATTACACAAACAAACTCAAATCCTTCACAGATATAGAAAAAAACCCCAAATTTATGAATCTTTAAAAACCAAAAACAAGATACAAGCAATAAAAATAAGCACCTCGACTCTGTGAATTACCACCGTATCCACCACCACCACCACCGCCTCGGCCGCCTCGGCCGCCACCACCATAACCTGAATCATATCCTCCACCACCGCTACCTCCATAACCTCCTCCGCCGGCACCGCCATATCCTCCACCGTACCCTCCGCCTCCACCACTATAATTTCCGGCGCCGCTGCCTCCATAGCCTCCGCTGCCGGGAGGATTCGCAGATCCATCGCCTTCGTGACCGTACATACCAGACATGTTCTAGGGTTTCCTAGGGTTTCCTTTTACCGTTCCTCTTTCACACAGCGAAATCTGAGCTAGTATTAATATCAATAGAGGTCGACTACAGATATAGACCAAAGTCGCCCACCCTCCACCCTCGCTTATTTCTGTCTTACAAATTACTCAAATTACACTTTACCCCCAACAAGTATCGCTCGTTGTCACTTTACCCCCAACTTATCTTTTAGATATGGCATTAAAAAAGTATAAAAAGTTTTTTTTTTTTTAATATATTTTGAATTTGATATAATTTTTTTCTGCTGAATTTCTCTTTTGAACATTTAATCAAACATTTGGTGAGCGGTAATTTTAATAATTGTGAAGAAGAACATCATCATCTGAAATCACAAATTCATAGACAGTTAATTCAATCAAAACAATTAAATTCAAATTTTAATCAAGCAAACATACGACCATGGAAGAATGAATTGGATTTAACAGCAACTAGAAAATGAAAATGGATGAGAAACATACCTCTTCTGTTTCTTTGACAAAACTCAAAGTAATATGTAGCAACACAAGTAAACAATTTACACTTTTTAAAATCTCACAACTTGTTAAACAAGTCTGGGTGAAAAATGCAGCAACACAGGTGGCAATAGGTGATGAACCACTTGCTAGAGAAACTCAAATTGACGCACAGCTTATTGAAGAAGCCCAAATTGATAAAGAGCTTGCCCAATAATCTTCAAACAGAGGGAATTGGCCATTTCAACTAGGTTAGATACATTAGTGTTATATTCAAGTTTTGTTGTAATGTCCTAGTTTTAAAACACAACTTAAACCCATTTGTATGGATGCCCCAGCACAATTTTGAGCTTGTGAATGGATAGGGATGTTGTTATTATCTTATTTATTTCTTTTGGTACTTTGTTTGTTGTTTGAAGTAGTTATTTACACTTATAACTGTTGTAGGAAAAATATGGTGATGATCTGTTTTGGTCTTTATCGCTCGCGATCTTATAGTTACTCTCGCGATGTTGTGTGTCATACCCACGACTAGGACACAACCAAAACATACATTCAGGTCCTTAGGCCTGAAGTAGTTGTATGGCCTGTGGTAGGCCGCGAGGAAAGTCGCGAATAGCATGGTTGCTCATACGATGGCGTTTACAACAAAAAACGCATCCCATTACTTTTGTTTATGTGTAGTTTTGCTCTTGCGATGAGTTAAGTCACGCTTGTGATTGTCTTTTTCACGCGCACGACAAAGACCATCCTGTTCACGGTCTGTTCTTTATAAAATACAGAGTAATGCATGAAAATATCACTTTTGATTCAACTTTCGGCACTCTTTTTATCTTGTGCTATTTTGACCTAGTTCTAAGAGCTTTAACCTTGGTTTTGAGACATCTAAGCTTGGATTTGATCTCCATCTCCTTCTCGGGCATTGTAGAGCTTGGCATGAGCATCGTTTTAATCTCAACCAATAGTTGATTTGCACGATCTTCGTTGCTCCTAGCTTCCCCTCTTCTGTTTAAAAGGTATGGTTTTATTTTTTTAACTCTATATGAGTTTATTGGTGTACTTTTGGTAGTTTTAATATAAAATCTACAAGTTGATGTTGTTGATTTGGAAAGAACAGGTATTTGAAGTTAATGCTTCGTTTGAGACGTGAGTTGGTTTTTTTGTTTTTTGACTTTTTGGCTATAGCCTGGGCTAAAAAAGTCTCGTTTGAGTTAGGTTTTTTAGTTTTTTTTTTCGGCACTCTTTTTATCTTGTGCTATTTTGACCTAGTTCTAAGAGCTTTAACCTTGGTTTTGAGACATCTAAGCTTGGATTTGATCTCCATCTCCTTCTCGGGCATTGTAGAGCTTGGCATGAGCATCGTTTTAATCTCAACCAATAGTTGATTTGCACGATCTTCGTTGCTCCTAGCTTCCCCTCTTCTGTTTAAAAGGTATGGTTTTATTTTTTTAACTCTATATGAGTTTGTTGGTGTACTTTTGGTAGTTTTAATATAAAATCTACAAGTTGATGTTGTTGATTTGGAAAGAACAGGTATTTGAAGTTAATCCTTCGTTTGAGACGTGAGTTGGTTTTTTTGTTTTTTGACTTTTTGGCTATAGCCTGGGCTAAAAAAGTCGCGTTTAAGTTAGGTTTTTTAGTTTTTTTTTTACTTTTATGAGAGAAAAAGTAAAATGATTATGGTTTTAATATAACATTTTGTCTTATTAGCTTTTATATTGTCTTTTTGTAACTATTTTAGCCTTTTAGCATCTAAAACTAATATGCCAAACAAAGGAATTATGAGAGAAAAAGTAAAATGATTATGGTTTGAATATAACATTTTGTCTTATTAGCTTTTATATTGTCTCTTTGTAACTATTTTAGCCTTTTAGCATCTAAAACTAATATGCCAAACAAAGGCTAAGGTTTGGTGATTTTGTTGGGTTTTCTCGGTTGTTTCTTATCGAACTTACTTTTATTATCACAAATTGCATATGGGTATTTATTTGGAGAAAGTCCTAAATTGTATAAGAAAACCTTATAAATTTGTAAGGGTAGGGTTGAGGTGTGGTTGTTGAAGTGTTGGAAAAGTTGATGCAATTAATTGTTGCTAGCTATTATCATTTCATACTTTTTGAGACGTTAATAATGAAAATCTGTTGTCGAATGGTGATGCACAGAGCATGTTTTGTGAGAAATGATTATTATTATTATTGCATTTTAATTGAGTGGTTGGATGTAAAGATGGCCACGGGGCGAGTTTGGATGTAATTTTTCAACCCTATCCTTGCTTCTGCGGATACCTGATACCTACATATACACGACTAAATTTTAAATTGTCAAAAAAATTAAGAACCATTTAAATCCTTAATACACTAAATAATTTCCTCTAACAAAATAAGGAGATGATAGTTTAGCTTCTTATCTATTTATATTTAAATAGAATCACATACTTCTATATCTAATTATATTATATATATATACATATTTATTTATTTATTTATTTATATATTATTACTTATATTATATCGAGTTTGGGTCAAGAGAGGTGATATCTGTCCCCTCCCCGCCTCCCCCAACTGCGGGTGACCAAAATTTAATACACTTCCACCTTGTATAAGTGTTTTGCTATAATTGGGGCTTGGTTTAGGAACATATTATTTTAATAATTTTTTAACCTTTTATAAAGAGATATTTAAAAAGTGAAAAAAAATATGAGAACTTATAATAATTTTTTGTTTTTTAACTAAAATTTTAAGTTATCAAATGAGACCCTAGAGATAAAAGGTGAGCTTCAGTTATAGATTTTTTTAATATAAAAGTAATTATTAATTATTTCTTTACACTTTACTTAAAAGAATCTTATGAAAAAGGAGAATATGATTCCATATTCACGTAATTCTACGGTGAAACTTGTAAAATACTTTTTTGAGAACATCTCCGACACTAGGTTGGTTTGGGATGTTACTGATAAATGTATTTTTTAATTTTTTATAAAAAGATAGAGATGAGATATTGATTGATGTGATTTAAAAAAATATATTTATGTAAAAAAATACACTTATATAGTTTAATCCAAATAAATTACACTGACACTCTTTTGTGGTTTGGTCCCATTACATTCCATACCCTGACGTTATTGAAATTATATTCTCACTCATGTGGTTAATAGTCTTATTTCACAAACCCTTCTACTTATATAGAAGGCAACAATTCCTGATTGAAATATAGAAGAAATTACATTAATATTACAAAAGAAATAAAACAAAGTAAGAAAAGATAGTGTATGAATTCAATATCTTTTTGATACTAATATTAATTCCGTCTAAATAATTACAATGATAGAAGGTTAGTATAATTTCTCAAATGTCAAGGAGTGAAACTTAAACCTCAGGGGGTGTAAGTGTAATTTATCTTTTTTTTTTTTAATTTATCAAATTTGAGTAAAGATTTAGGTTAAAAGCTTTATTTGATACGAAGTATTCCAACACTAAATTTTCAATTTTTATCAAACAATCTTTTCCAATTTGATCGTCTAGCCGGTCGTCCATCATCGGTCCCTTGCAAGATTTTATGAAAGGTACGCTTTCTTAAAATTGATGAAACAAGTAAAGCTTTATAATATCAATTTGGTAGAATGATGCCTATGTTTGGGAAGTAGTTTTTCGGATTTTTTTGACTAAAATAGTCATAAAAAATAAAATAGACTTTTTAGCTCAATAAGACAAAACATCACATCCAACTCATAATCATTACATTATTTCTCTCACAAAAAAATCAAAAAAACCAAAAACCCTTCCCAAACCAAGCTTTTTAGCCCCATGCTAAAATAGTAAAAAAAGTAAAAAAGTCAATTCACTTTCCAAACGAATCCTGTAACATTATTTTTATCAAATTTAAATTTGATAATTTTTTTGAATCTGGATTAGAGATAATCTAAGTTTAGCTGAGATTTGATCCTGCTTTCCATCATAATAATGTCAAATTTTTGGTGTGTTTGGTTTGGTTTTGAGAGATAAATTTTTTAAAAAAAAATTGAGGAGAGAGTTTAGAATTTTTTTTGATTTGTTTGGTTGTATATTTTGGAAATAGTTGTGGAGTATGAGAGTTTGGGTTGATTTGATATTTTGTTGTAGTTAAGTAGATGTGTGTAAGAGAAAAAGTGATTGAGAATGAGAGAGGAGAGAGAAAAAGTGATTGATTGATGTGTATGAGAGAGAAAGTGATTTTGGAATTTTTTTTTTTAAAATCACTAAACCAAACAAAATTTTGAAAAATTTTCTCTAAAATTACTCTTTCAAAAGCAAACCAAACAAGGCCTTTATCTTTGAAGGGAAATTTACATCGCGCGCATGCTTGTATTCAAATAAATAGTTCAAAGGGGATTTACCTCGTGCACTTCATCCTATTATTTTAAAAGTATTTTGGTAATTATGTTATTTATAGAATTTATTGAGACATAAAAAAATAATTTTGACTAAGTGAAATATAAATAGATGAAGAAAGGTTTATAAATAAATACTCATTTTTCAAGACCAACTTAATATAAATACATATAAAAGTACAAGATGTATGAATAAAGAGGTATTTATTAATAAATTATATATTCATAATTTATAAATTATTTAGTATTATAAATATTATTGTAATCTTATAAGTTTTTTTTTTACGTTAAAATCTCTCAAATGGGGAAGATGGGCAGTTGCTGTGTATAAAGTACAATAGTCGTTGTTGTGCAGTTAATTGGACTAATTTTAAATCTTATTTCGATAATCTTAACCGTTCACTTTTTAAGGTGTATTAAGTAGAAAATACCTGTAAAAAATCAAATTGATCGAATATCAGTAGCACTTTGCTATAATGACTCTCTAGTCACTGTAGCTCCTTCATATCTAATAAATTCTTATTTTAATTCGTTGAAGGCGAACACAGCTGCAGCAGAGCAGGTGAACATAGCAGCCCAGACAAGGGGCCGGACGTCCAAGGAGTTGATCGGTTGGACGTCCGGACGTCCTGCCAAACATCATGGCGGATGACCTCACATCTGTTTAATTGAGTACCTTTGTTCCAGTGAAGCTCACAGCCCAGAGTTAGAACTGGACATAGACAACATGGGCAAAAGCAACAAGTCTCTCTATGAGGAGTCAATGGAGATGGTAGTTAACATTGTGAAGCTATCATCCTCACAATCAAGAGCTCCTGCTGCTTTAGAGTTGAGTGCACCAACTAAGAACAATCAAACTCCTTCTTCCTCCTCAGTGGATGTTATGGATCTAATTGTATCAGCAATAACTATCAGTAATCAAGCCATGCCAGAGGCTCCCAACCCGATTCCAGTTATTCAAGTAACGAATTAATGGTCCTGCTACAACACCAATGCTTGACTTTTTTTGATTAATAATCCATTGCCCGTGTCACAAGACAGCCTCATAGCAGTGTCTTGATTCTTAGGAAGGTAAGGCAATAATTTGTTTGTGCTTGAGGTAACTTACAATCATGCCCACATTACGGACCATCTTTATCATTTACTATGCTGACGGCTTGTTCACTAGTATTAATCTTCTTTCTCTTTCCTTTTTGCTGTGAAATTGGAGAGTTGGTTCACATGTGTTTTCATTATTTTATTATGTCAAAAATATCAAGATTATTTTAATAGGATAAAGAAAGAATCTAAAAATTGTTAAGGAAAGTAAATGAAAATGTAATTTTTAAAATAAAAAATAAATTTTTTAATAATATTTTAAAAAACCACATAGACTGAAGACTAGAGTGAGAGAAAGTAGGAGAAGAGAGAGAAGACAAAAATGTCAATGAGGAAAGAAGGGGAGGTGGTGTGCGTGACCGGGGGGAGTGGCTACATCGGTTCCTGGCTGGTCAGTCTCCTCCTCCGCCGTGGCTACACCGTCCACGCCACTGTCAAACATCTCAGTTACTCTCCTCCTCCTCCTCCTCTCCCTCTTTTTCTTTCAATTTCAAATTGGTCTTTCAATGCTCACCAAAATTGAACTGAGCTATACTAGTATTTCTTTCGAATTTTTGCTTCTTGTCTTTTGTTTCTAGACGATGAGAAAGAAACCAAGCACCTCCAAGCCCTAGAAGGAGCTGAATCACGTCTCAGCCTCTTTCAGATGGACCTCCTCCGCTACGACTCCATACTCGCCGCCGTCCACGGCGTCGCCGGTGTCTTCCACCTTGCTTCTCCCGTCATTGTTGATCAAGTTCAAGATCTCGAGGTCTGTCCCTACCTCTCATCCCCTGTCAAATTGTACACACACACACGCATTTTATATATCAGCATCTCCAATCGTTCATCAATTTTTTCATTAAATTCAAATTTGATGAAAAAAATGGCTAAAAGTGTGCTCCATGCATTTCACCTAATCTGTATGTATACACTCTGTTTGGATGGGGTGATTTGTTGAGATATGATAAGAGATTATGAGAATTATTTGTCATGTTTGATTTATAATTAGGCAAGAAATGGTGTGAAATAACAAGAAATGTTGCCAAACAGAACTCTCTCTACTTTGTTCATTTAATTTTTCATAAAAAGAGGGCAGATTTGGTGAGAAAAAATTCTAATTGATTATAATAAATTTATAATATTGAGTTTGTATATGTTTTACTTTCTTATCCATCTAAACATGATAATCATAATGAGAAATAACAATCTTTTATTTTCTTTTTTCACCAAAGTGAGAGACTACTATCAGTACTTTTCTTTTTGCAACCCGCGATTCAAATGGAGTGCAAATCAAAGAAGAACCAGAATTTCCACCAAATTCTTAACAGTAATATTTTTACTCAAATTTGATGAAATTTTAGAGTGAGTCAGGATTGGAGATGGTTTTCTTTTATAAGAATGGTTAAAATAGGTTTTTAGGATAAGTTTAAAAAATATTTGATAAAAAAAGAGAAAGGATTGGAGTGTTCTATATCATCATATCAAGCTTTTAACTCAATTTTTTACTCAAGTTTGAAGAAAAAAAAGTAAGTATTGGAGTGTTGTATCATGATTCACATCAAGCTCTTAGTTCAATTGTTATTATCGACAATCTAGATATATATTATGTTGCACGGACTCTTCAAAATAAATCAAATACTCGTGTTGTACACCGGACACTTGGACAAGGGTACGAGATATGTGTCAGATATTTTTGTACGGATACTTTTTATATAATTGTATATAACACTATTATTATATGTACACATTATTATATAATTGTTATAAATGTAAATTACATATAATATTATTTTATCTCACATACTTGATGCGTATTCTTGAATTTATGGTTTGATGAGTCCGATTTCTAGATACATATCGGCACTCGACACCCGTACTCGAATCAATGTAAATAGATATATAGTTGACCGTGATTTGCAGAAGGAGCTATTGGCACCGGCAATTGAGGGGACAAAGAATGTACTCAGAGCGGCGAAGGAGTTGGGGGTTCGACGTGTGGTGGTGACCTCGTCAGTATCGGCCATCACGCCGAGCCGCTATTGGCCAGCTGATGTGGTCAAGGACGAGAATTGCTGGACTGATGTAGACTACTGCAAGCAGATGGAAGTGAGAGCCTCCTTTTTTCTCCTCCATCCTCCCAAATTTGTTTAGTTTTGATTTGTAGTTAATGTCCTATCTTCCTAACTCCATTGATCTCTTGCAATTTAAAAGTTTGTGAGTAGGAAATTATCAATTATTATAACCACATTGTTGTTTTCTGGTAGGAAAATGAAATTGCTAGGCCATTAATCCACTTTAGTTATGAGCACAAAATTCCATCTGATTCGGTCATTAGTTTTATGTAATTTTGCAAATTACAATTCTGTCCTCCTGATTTGGCATGGAATGATCATAGTGCAGATTTACAACTACGTTTATATGCTTTGTTTATGATGAAATCCTATTGTTATACTATAGTCAAATTAGAATTTCATATTAGTTTTAACCAAGAATTATTCTATACATATATTCTTGGTTTTGCATTGTTGTAGGTTTATAGCGAAGCAATAGGTAGAGAGGTAAGGTAAAAAGAAACTAAAGAACAAGAAAAAGTCTGCTTTTACAAAAAATAATTTGGTTTACCAGCCAGATTATTTTTTGTCAAATTGCTAACAAGAATAAATGTAAGCTTAAGGTATCCTAATTCTACATGAATTTTGTAATACAAGGACCCGTTCAAGTCTCATAAGTAGGAGAGATTTATGGAAAAAAATTAGGGTCGAGTAAGGAAACCGAAAAATCCGCAAACCAAACCGATCCATACCAAGCTGGTAGGTTTGTTTGGTTTTTTTAATTCATGGTTTGGTTCTAGTTTGGAAAATTGGGAAACCAGTCTCAGTCGATTGGTTCTGGATTTAGGTCCACGGTTTCAGATTTAAACTAAACCGGACCGTATAACTTATGTTTGTTTAATGAGAGTTTTATGTTTACTATATGTTGAACAATATCTTTATTTGCTAGATGTTATCCTTGTTTAAATTAATGGTTGAACAATGGGCATATTTATGTTTTGAAAAATTATGGCGGATTAATGTTGAACAATGTTTGCTTAATGTTATGTTTTTGCTTAACTGGTGAATATTATGAGAGTAGTTTGTTTGATGGCCATTTTATTATTATTTTTAAAATTTATGATAGGTTGATTTTTTTTGAAAATGTTATATGTTTTTTCTTGTGAGCAAATTATATGAAACCGTGGTTCCAAATCGAGCTGAACTGTGTTTAAATGGTTTGGTTTGGATTGGTTCTGTGATTTTAATGGTTTGTTTTGGTTCTAATTTTTATGGAATCCTAGGTAATGGATTGGTCCTGTTTTATCCTAAACCGATCCAAACCGGACCATGCTCACCTCTAAAAAAAGAAATGAAAAAGTAAATACTCTTTTAAATAAAAAGTAATTAATATCTTAACACCTTTTTATACAAAAATGAGAATGAATTTTATTTTCAAGTAGATAGACACCAAGTTAACTGTGGTCTCTTACTCTGTGAAAATATGAAGCATGGATACAAATATGGAATACGGGTATGATACGATATAGATTTGGCGATGAGACAAAACTTATAAAGTTATGGTCAGAATACATTTGTAAAAAAATATGTTTTATAATTTTTAGTATTAAATTATACATAAGCTTAGAGAATGGTGAAAAACCTTTTGGTATTAATTAAAGAGCCAATGGCCAACCACTTCATTATTGTTTTAGTTGGTCCTATGAAAATATCATTTAATATATCAAGTCTAAAACTGTTTTTATTACTCTTGTATTTTTCCCTTTCATACTTAAATGTGTTATATGCAATAGAGTTGTATGCAAGTTTACTTGGTTGTTTAACCGTTGAAATTCAATTTTAATATAATCATATTTTCTTATTTATCTTTACTTTCTGAAAAGTATGTATATGGATATGAGATACATATATGACTCGTTTATAAGGATACGTCAATTCGATAAATTTTGAAAAAGTAAGGTAGTATTTCAATCTCACTAGTTTTTTCTTTTGTAAGAAGTAAGCACAGAGTTGAGAAGTTATTCTTGTATTTATTCCAACAATTATACTCTAATGCTATGCAAGAATTACTATAACATCACTGGCATAATAGTTTGGATATTTGGAGTATCTGAAAAGCATCCGATAGTTCTCAAAATTAGAGAAAATTAATATCACGTATCCAATACGTTTAGTAAGTATTGGAGGAGTATCGGTATCCTATATGGATATGACTCTCTTTTAAAAGTATCCGTGCTTCATAGATCATAGCATATTATTTTGCTTGAAAGTGCCAATAGCAAAGGGATATTTTGTGGTTTATTTACAGTAACCACTTTCTGTTCTTTTATCTTAAAAGGATTCATGCATGATCTATGGGTTTTCATAATTCTGGACTGTAATGGATAATTTGTTTGGCTAGTTATGGTATTCAGTTTCTAAGACACTAGCAGAAAAAGCTGCTTGGGAATTTGCTAAGGAACAAAGTTTGGATGTTGTTGTTCTGAATCCTGGTACTGCTATGGGCCCAATTCTTCCCCCAAACCTTAATGCAAGCATGTTAATGCTTCTTCTCCTTCTTCAGGGTAATTTCTGCAGCAACTTAAATAAGCGATTTAGATTTTATAGAAGTAATCGTTGATTTGTAAATGCATCATTTAACAAGAGGGAATGGGTGCTTTGTTTGGTATTCTTTTGCTTTGTAGTTCTGCTAGGGTTCATGCAAACACATTTGGGGGAAAAAAAAAAAAATAGTTTGTATGAAACTAATGGATTACAAAATTTTCATCTATCCTTTTATTTTTTGTTTGATAAGCATCATCTACCCAGTTGATGTTTGTAAAATTTTCAATTTCAAAAAAATACATAAATATTTTTGCTTTTGTTTTATTCATAATCTAGTAAATTTACATGACTGTATTTTTTTTTTAAATAAATCACTTTTCATATTGCTTAAGGCAGAATTAAAGCTGAAACCATAATTTAAATCCACCCAAAACATGAGGTGCAATACATAGGAGTTGGTTGCTTAAGTTGACAGCTGCCCCAGAAACTTGTCTTGTGGTAAACTAATATATTTTGATATTGATTCTTTCAGTGACAAGTAGAACAACTTTGATGGCATTGATGATTCATGTTGATATGGCTTAAAATTAAAGGCTTTTCATGGGTTGTTGCACCAAAACTAACCTTTGCTTTCTCTGTGCCATGAAAACTATTTACGGTGTTGAATAAAAAAGGGTGCTAGTAATGATACAGAGAGTCAACTTTTGCTTAGTGTGGCAATTAATTAGAAGACTAACATGACATTTTTTCTTTGCCAGGCTGCACTGAAACTTATGAGGATGTTTTTATGGGATCTGTCCATGTTAAAGATGTGGCCTTAGCGCACATATTGCTCTATGAAAACCCATCAGCAACTGGAAGGCACTTGTGTGTTGAAGCTATATCCCATTATGGTGACTTTGCTGCCAAGGTTGCGGAACTTTACCCCGAATATAAGGTCCCCAGGTAATGTGCTTTGCCCTCTCTTTTCACATGGTTCATGAATCCAGTTTTCACTCTCCACACTCGCAAAATGTTTTTGATAAGAAAACCATTTGAATCTTCTATAGCTAGGAGACTGATTTGATAATGGTGTCTGAACCTAATGACTCTTTGCCATATGGTTTAATCATTTCTGATCTGAAAGATAGAATTGTGCAGCCATTTTACTCAATGATGGGAACACGATCATCTTAGGTCATCTGCGGCCATTTTACACAATTTGAAATCACTTAAAGCACCCCTCCACTCTTTGACTCGAATCTGTCAATTTGAGTTTTGCATTTTTTCTTTCCCCCCAACCAAGGTTTGCCTGTTTCCTTACTCAAATCTCCAATGGTAAAAAAAATGACATGTCAACCGTGCATTTATTTACCACTTTGCCATTTGCAACGGCATTCTCCATTCATTGCTTAAAGTGACCTATACATACAACAATGCTAGTTCAGTGCAACAGCCCAATGGCTAGTGGTCGAACCCCATTCATTGTTGAACGAACCTATACGGACATACATCCATAAGCAACAAAAGCACACCTTATTTGGTTCCAATTTTCTGAAAATTGAGTTTTTGGTTTTTCGTGTTTTTTTGTTCTTAGTGAATTTTTTTAATAGTTTAAGTTTTTTTTTTTTTTTTTTTTTTTAAACCTTTTAGATGCACCTAACTAAGATGTATCTAAAAAGTAAAATATTTGCAAAAAAATATTTTTAAAACATCAAATAAATACACAAGAATACGAAAATCAGTAAATTTTTGTAATTTTTTTTGTATTTTTAAAAAAAATTTCACAAATACTATACTTTTTAATTGTATTTATATTTAGTGTATCTAAAAAGTAAAAATTTGCTTAAAATATTAAAAAAAAAATCACTAAAAACAAAAAATTACGACAAATAAAAAATCAATTTTTAGAAAATTGAATTCAAGAAATTGGAACCAAACAAGCTAAATTTCAAACACTCTTCTCTCTTGCCTTTTCTTTCTCATACCAAAGCAAATGAAAAAATCTGTCTCTCTTGACCTGTGCAAAGAACACCCTCCCATTGTTGGTCTTTGATTCAAAAGTTTGTGAACAAATTTTGTGGTTTTCTTGAGCAAGTACAAAAGGAGAAAGTGGGGGAAGAAAAAATTATCAAACCATGAGGTATTGGAGGGAATTTAAGTACAGGAAAGGACGTGAGAAAATATTTTGGAGGTAAAAATGAAAGAAAGACACTCTTGAAATTATTATTGTTATTATTATTATTATTTTTAAATGAGTAAAATTTGAGTTTGTCATTGGAGCATTTCATATCAAATGAAACTTTTTCTCAAATTTGAGTAATGGCTGGTGATGGACTTATTTATACCAGGTGGTTTTCATTTTGGGTCTTGCACTTTGCTAACAGAAAGGCAAAAAACGAGATGGACACGAAACAATTCTCACAAATTTTAGAACATTTTTCATTAATTTCATAACACTTTAAAGTCTTTCACCTTGTAAACATTTTTTGACCTAAATTCCGATGTGTGAGACATTGGCTAACAAATGCCTTTGTTTTTTAATGCCCGTTTAGTGTTTTTTGATGCATTGTAATTCTTGATCGGTAGCTTAATTTTATGTGGTAACAAATGATTGTGAGATGTAGGCATTGCTTAATCTATTTTAGTGTCGGTTTTGAAGGCTGCTGAGGGATACTCAACCTGGATTATTGAGGGCCAAGAATGCATCTAAGAAGCTGATGGAGTTGGGTTTAAATTTCATTCCTATGGAGGAAATTATCAAGGACGCCGTTGAGAGTTTAAAGAACAAAGGATTTATTTCTTAAGCAAAATATGTCTTGGCATTCTACAAGGTACTTTGTAGCATAAATAATCATATTTAGTGGATTCAATGTACTTCTTGAATGATCTTCTCCTTGTAATAGAGGGGGGCCGAACAAACCGAATTTGGAAGCATGCCAAACATATTTTTAAATAGCAGTATTAGAATATGTATTGGTGTGATATAGGCATATATCAGCTAATATGGGTTAAAAATAGTCATATATGAGCTAATATGGGTCAATTTTTAACGGTATCGGAAGTCTGAAATTTCTTTAAATCTTGATGCCAAATGATAATGCCAAAAGATCGCTGTTTGTACAGCTAAAATTGTCTAGGCTTGTAAGGTGGTGGTTGTAATATCTGGATAAGGATTAGGGACAAATTATTTTCTATTGCATAATTTAGTGTCCGTGTGTGGGCTCTACTCATTGTAAGTGATGGAATATACACTAGAAAATAGTGTACGTATGTGGAAAAAAATTACCAAAAATAAATTTTTTTTTGTCAACTCGTAAATTTGCATTGATTTAAATGAACTCAAATCAATTTATGTGGTTTAAGAAGGTGAGGGGTTTGAGTTAAATTGGTAAAATGAAGATAAAAGTTGATGAATCAATTTGTATTCAGTTTAAAAATGATCAAATTTACCTATAAACTGATCCAATTTGCCTATATGTATATGTAAATGGGCAAATTTTACTTTATTTCATGTGGTTTGGGTTAGGTACAGCTTAACCTCCTAACATTCGGAAATGACCGCATAATCCCCTAGGGTTATTGGATCGAAAGGTACACTAACTTAATAGAAGTAAATTGACAATTACTCTCTCTCGCTCTCTCCATTTTAGGGGAAACTCAGTTCTCTCTCTCTCTATTTTCATCTTCTTCTCTCTCTCTCCACTTCAAACTTTATATGTGTACATACATATACATATATTTACATATACAGTCTCATTTTTATCTTTCTCTTGATATATTCATATCAAACCTAGTTTACAGTTTCATCTTCATATATACATATCAAACCCAAAACAAAAACCCAAAAATTATGATTTTTGCTCTTGGTTGTACTCCAATTCATATACTCCATGGTTTTTTGCTCTGTGTTTTAGATGATGATGTTGATGAATCCAAAATAATTTTATGATTCCAAAAACATGATGTTTGACATCGGTGGGCCCACAAAAGCTTTTAGCCCACCACGTAGAGCCCAATTCACGGTTCAAATACTAAAGTCCAACACCAATGAAAACCTAACGTTGAACCAGGAACCAATAGCATCTAAACACTTGTCAAGCAGGGAACCAGCCACATAAGCAGACAAAGATCCTGTAGAGTTATTGCACCACACATCAGTCATTAATGAGGCTCCTACAGCATTAAATGCGATAACCCTTTCACGTGGGAACAGACAGCCTCACCGTGAACAATGCAAGCTAGAGTATAGACTTTTGGCCAACACAACAAGTTGGAGTGGACAAGGAAATGATGGACAAAGGATATAAGGAGGCTTCCAAGACACATCAAAGGTTAAGTTCTCCGTTCTTTTTCTCTCTCTCACTCTCTCTCTCTTTCTACACAGTCAATCTCCTCTTTTTTAACTTGATCGTCGGAGGGTTCGCTAGGGGACTCCCATTCCTCGTTAGACCTTTTTGCAGGCACCACCAGTGAGCTCCGAGACCGGTGAAAGGTGTTGGAAGCGTGGGTCAACCTGCCTCGCCATCCCTGGGATCAGCAACATCATCAGCTGGCGTCGTCTGTGGGAAAGCCACTCCGGGTAACAGTTGTGCTCATTGTTGCCGGAGACCCATTCCCGATAATTTCTCTCTACCCGCCATCGAGGTGGATGGTTACAACGAGATCTATGGCTTCTCAACACAATGTCATCGACCCCCAAGCCGACCCTCCCAACCCTCAACTCACCTCAGTACTTCACAGAGCTCACCAACAACATCAACCGTTTGGCCGAGCAAAACCGGGCCTTGATTAACACTTTACTCTAGCGAAACCTCCCTATACCTCCTCCACCACCACAAGATATCCCTCCCAATTGAGAACGGACCCCGAGCCATCCTTTACAACAAGCCCACCTCTCCAACCTAGAGGGTCTACAAGCCCCACCTCAAGACATGAACCCACCACCTCGGGGTTTACATCCATTAATTCAAGCACCTGCCCCTGAAGGAGAGGCTAGTAGTGTTCAGCCCCCACTGCACTCTGGAAGAGACAATGTTCCTATTTGGGATGCGGAACTCTGAGCCATGAAACTCTAGCTTTAAGGAGTCATGGGGAACATACAGAATAAACCCTCTACAACAGCTAACTCCTCGTTTGTCGCCTCCATCAGGGACAAACCCCTACCCCCAAGTTCAAAATGCCCTCGATCGACTCCTTCAACGGCAAAATGGGTCTAGTTGACCATTTGGAGACATATATGACCCTTATGATCCTCCATGCTTTTCTTGACGAAATCATGTGTCGAGCTTTCCCCGTAACGCTTAAGGGGTCGGCTTGACTATGGTTTAGTCAGCTACCGCTGGACTCTGTCTCTACTTTCCAACACCTAAGTGATTCCTTCCTAAGCCATTTCATTGGCGCTCAGCGCCAGCGGCGCCCAACAACTCAACTGCTTAGTATGTGACAGACGGAAAGGGAGTCACTACGTAGTTTTGTCACCAGTTTCAACACCGAGGCCCTACAGGTGGCGAAAAATGACAACAAGGTCATCCTTACAGCCTTCATGGCCGGTTTACGACCATCTGATTTCCTTTTCTCCCTTTCTAAAAACCCTCCGATCGCCATCGCCACCTTCCTTTCCAAAGCCCAAAAATATATGAATGTCGAAGACTCTTTGGCAGCCTGCCAAGACTCTTTGGCAGCTTGCCAAGATACCACACCTAAAAATTCAACCCCTAAGGATAAAATAAAGGAACTCGAAACCAGATCCTCCCAATATACACAGCAACCCCTTCAATATACTGACCGACTCGCTCGAGCCGACTAACCGATACCTACCTAACCGCCTGGTCGGTTCGAGCGATATACCCCTCTCAATTCCCCCATGGAACAAGTTTTGAACCAGATTCAACGAGATTATAACCTGAAATGGCCTCAACTATCATGATCTCCCTTTAATCGGCGAGATCAATCCAAGTACTGCCGTTTCCATCAGGACCATCGCCACAACACTGAGGAATGCGTTAACCTTAAAGAGCATGTAGCGACCTCCCAATATACACAGCAACCCCTTCAATATACTGACCGACTCGCTCGAGCCGACTAACCGATACCTACCTAACCGCCTGGTCGGTTCGAGCGATATACCCCTCTCAATTCCCCCATGGAACAAGTTTTGAACCAGATTCAACGAGATTATAACCTGAAATGGCCTCAACTATCATGATCTCCCTTTAACCGGCGAGATCAATCCAAGTACTGCCGTTTCCATCAGGACCATCGCCATAACACTGAGGAATGCGTTAACCTTAAAGAGCAGGTAGAGGATTTGATACGCCAAGGACGCCTCAATCGGTTCACGACAGCTCGTCCCCAGCAACGACCAAGGACCGACCCACCGGGGGATCACTGCCGACATACCCCTCCGACAACCCGCACAACCTAAGCGAGACAATGATCGGCCCCCACCACAACCCCAGACACAAGGCAATCCTGTTTCCCCAGCCGGAGAGATCAGAGTCATCGCTGGCGGTGTAACAACCCTCACTTCATCTTAGTCATGCTCTCATGCATTTATATGATTTTGTCTTGTTAAGCTTGCATTTAAAATCTTGTCTTTGTTTTGCTTAAGTGTTACTGCATGCTTTGTTCCTTGCTTGGTGTGAGTTTAGCCGAGGTCATCTTAAGCTTGGGTCGCACCTTTGAATCTCTTATACCTAGGACTATCTTGGAATCTTTTGGTTAACCTCCACTCGCACCTTGGCATATCGGCCGAGATGTCACTATCCAGGCCGATGTGTTCATCACCAAGGCCGAGATGTGTATTATCTAGGCCGAGATGTTACTCTTGCACCTAGTGATCTTGTTCTTGGATTGGTATGACCTAGACCGAGGTGTGGCACATCTAGGCTGAGGTGTGGCACAGCTAAGTTAAGTGTTGTCCTTCCTAACCGAGATCATTGAGACCTTACTTGCCGAAGCCTTGTCCTTAGCCGAGATCATTACCTGCCGGAGTGCCTATGCCATCTTGCTTGTTGAACACACTTTGTCATAGTCTTGTCTTTTCACTCAGTCACCTTTTTTAGAAGAGCCAACCAGCCGATGCCACACGTCCCAGCAGAGGGTTAAGTCTGTGAGCTGTTGAGAAACACATCATTTTGTATCATATCTTGTCTTTTAGAGAGAGAGGCTCTAGGAAAAAGAAGGAGGAGTTCTTAGAGAGGGAATAGATTTCCAAACTTGATCTTCACACCTTGAGCCGTTAGATTCGTGTCTTGAGGTTAGAATCTTGATCTACTCTTGTTGTTTTTATTGTTCATCTAGCTGCATTGCATGATCGAGAACGATTTGTAAGCCATGCATTGATTTAAAGTTTGGTTTTAGAAAGAGAAAGTGATATTCATGTGTTCTTGAATAAAAGCCTTGTTTGATCCGAAAGCTTGCATCAAGATTGATGTTTTCGTGTTTGTCTTCATAAGATCTTCAAGTATGGGTACCCAAGTCCATGTTTTCGAACTCATCTCATGAAATCCCAGATTTTGTAATAACAAGTTGTGATTGAGCATTCATGTTCTTCATGTTCTTCAGCAGAGGGAAACTCAGATTTTCCCGACTTCATTTACTTGAATGTGGCCATCGAGACTACACCTCGGCAAGGAGGTGTGGGACCTCGGCCAAGACCTGGTTGGTGCCCATTATGTTTTCTCGAGATGAGAAACAGTGTTTTGTTTTGGTCCGACTTAGTTTTAAAGGATATTTGCATTCACGTAAAGCTTGTTTGAGGGTGCATTCAATAGACTTTGCCATGTGTTTGTAAGACTTGGACTCTTGCTTTGACCCCAACGCTTAAAGAACTATGTGAGTGGTCTTTTTAATAAAGCTATGTTATGACATTTAATAAAGCTTTGCCTTGCTTGTTTTGGAAAAGTATTTGCTAAGCATGAATGATTATCCCTATTTTGTGTATCAAGTATTAGCTTTGGTTTTGATAACATTCTTGACAAGTCCGTACGTGTTAAGGGACTATAAGCATTTGTAGCACAAGTCCGTACGTGCTAGGGGACTCTAAGCA